CAAGTTTTTAAGTGTAAGTGTGCGTCCATACTGAACGCGCGGTGACTAGGGCCTAAGGCAGGCGCGGCGAGCGGCAGCGTGCGGTGTCCAGTGTGACACGCGATCACTGGTTTGACCTATTATCAGAAGTTCCAAACTATGGACGACGATTTGCTATTTTTACTTGACAGTCCGATCCTGAGATGGGAGGTACTGAACATTCGAGATGGTGCGCACGAAATAAATAAAAAAAAAATAACTGCTGAATTTTTTCATTTGTATGAAGAACTGAGATAACAGCCCACCAAATTTTTTGAGTACACTCTAATGGTCGTTTAGATTGAATTGCACTTATAAACAATTCAGTATCCGCCATTACAGTACAGTGTTACTAATGCATACGCCGAGCGACAAGACCGAACTGGTTTGTTACCGCCGCCACCGCGCGTTCGGTTGCTGTGTGGCCAGAAAGCGCGGATCAGGACTGTTTGAAAACTACGCGCGCTGACACGTCCCGTCGCCCTAGGCTTCCGCCTCAGTCACTACCCTGTGGACGCACAGGCGCGTTTTATGTTTGATATTTCGCGCCCGTCGTCGCAACCGTGCTAGGCTCGCAATAAGGATGCACACTAAATGTAAGCGCTGGGTAGTTCCGATATTTTAAATAGCTAGAAAAGTTAGGTATAAAAATTGTAGGAAATTATACGCTTCTTACCTGGAAAATATGCCGCTCTCCACAAGTTGATTCAGAATTACATACCAACACATAAATTTTTCAAATGAATTTCTTTAGAGTGGGCCAAGAACAAAAAAATATTCGTGCAAAATGGTTTAGTTTTCCTGATGAATAATATTTCTTCAATCTATCACTTAAATGTTCATGTGCACTCGTATAGTGATTGTGTGAAGGTTGTATTTGTCTGGTGTATTTAGCACTGCTTATATTGAAAATGCAATGGATTGATTATATCGCAGCAGCATAGAATACATAGCAAAGGTAAATATTTTTTAGTTTATTGCAAATACATACTTCCATCATTTCAAATTCATTTTGAAGCTTTATCATAAATAAATAGTCATCCGTCGCTTCTTTTTGCACAAATATATTCCTTTTTAGAATTGATTTCTAAACTACACTAGATCATATCGAAATATTATAATACGTCGCAACACGGACTGCTGACCACTAAAAACTCTTTCATCGTTGTGCTAGGAGAATTCACATGTGATTTTCTCCGCCAAAATGGCAATCGGTTTTGTCACTGGCAGGAGAGTTTTATAGCTGATTGTTATCTAAGCTGTGTTACTAGTTCAAATGTTCTAGGATTCTATTGGCTGATTAATTTAACTAGAAAATGACGAACGAAAATGTTTGTTACATGCCGGATTAACACTGTCTGCATCTCCGTACGTGTTTTGCACTGACCCGATTGCACCTGGGATGCACTGCTGAACTTCTCGAATATGGACGAAACAATCACATAATGTTCGTACGTGACTTGAACTAACGATTCCAGTTGTTGATTCCATGCCACGTAGGGCCATGAAGTGAGGACTGTACAAGTACTGCAGAAAAGAAATACATAGAGGTGCACCGTAAATGTTCTATGAATAGATGCATTCCAGATAAGCACGCCCAGTCAAGAAATCCTGAATTGAAGTTAGTTATACTCCGTGGCTACAAAAGCAAATTAAGCCCAATCTGTAGGAGATATAATATGAATCCCATAAACTAATAATATAGCTTTCATTTTACATTTGTTACTAATGAAGGTCAAGAAAATGATTATGAAGCAACTATATGGTGGTCAGTTTGGTATCAAGAAGACACTAGAGAAGGTGAAGGACAAATTTTACTGGATGGATTGCCGTAAAGATATGGGAAATTATTGTTCCTCAATTCTGCATTCTAGAAAAGATCCAAATGTTCGCCGTCGATGCCATAAGCAACAGTGTAATGCTGGTGCACCATTTCCATTGTTAAATACAGTAAGTGATCGCTTCACTCCTTTTGTACCCTAAGGTAGCGCCTCTAGATTATGACGAGCGTGACACTTAATAAAAATAAACTAATAATAATAAGTAGAATGGCAAAAGTATCAGTTATCTTTAATAGAATATAAAATATATTTACACTGCAACTGAAAATGATATGTATTGTTCTATACATAAAATTTTACATCATCGCCAACAAGTAAAAATGAAAAGTATTATCATGCAAATTTCAATCAAATAAAATAGTACCTAAAATTCGTGTTTAAAAACTTCTCGAAACGCCAAACTTTAAATAACCTATACATCTACTAATCTCAAGAGCAGTATGTTTGAAAACTCAAACGACTATTATATCACCACAAAATATGTTAACGTGAAGCAGAGGCGTACCTGAGCATCTACAGGCTTCGTGATAAGAAGGGCCGAACGTTGTAGAGCATCTCGATTACTGAAAAAATACCGCTCGCGGTTTCAGGTACGTCACTGATAACAAGCCAATTAGTTATACCTTTTTATACTTGTTTTAATTGTGAAAACAGTCCTATATTTTGTATGAAATATGAAATACAAAATCTTGACTGACATTATTGGCAAGAAATCTTTGGTTCATTATTCCTGTACTATATTCTATGTATATGTCCCTTAGAATGAATACTTCTGCATGAATTCATACAGAGTGTCCCAGAAATCGACGTCAGGCCGGAAACGGGGTATAGGCCAAATCATAACAGTTATCAGAAAAATCGTGTACTTAGGCATTAAAAAAAAATCGGAAGAATCTACACCCACTGATGATCTTTTAGTTCCCATTACAACAAATTTCAATTTTTTCTTAGATGGGGTGACGGGCAGTGTCATTCTGCGTAGTGACAGCAAGATAGTAACAATACTTTTATTAATTCGTGATTGTGTGCTACCATGCCACCATGTATGTGGACACAGTAAAGAAAATCGTCATTTGATGAGACAATATAGATCACAGTATCGTACCAAAGTAAACATGTGAACCGGGATTTTAAATAGGAGAATCATTGTACCCTTTGAGCTGCGCGAGTTCTTGAATGGCGAAATTTATTTCGACTTTTTACAAAATCATTTACCAAATTTATTGGAAGATGTGCCACTAAGCATTTAAATAGACATGAGGTTCCCACAGGACGGCTGCCCGGTGCACTATGCCCGTTCAGTTAGAGAATATCTTGATGCGGAATACCCGAACTGATGGATAACGCGGTCTGTTACAATTTCGCGAGCAGCCCGTTTACCTGACTTAAATGCTTTTTACTGGGGAGCGGTGAAGGAAAAAGTTCATTCAAAGCCAATAGAAAATTTAGGTGAGCTACTGGAAAGAATAACGGAAGCAGCTGAATTTGTTAATAACGGAAGAATAAGATTCGCTCATCTAATCATTTTTAAGAATATCTCAAGCTTGCATCGCTGCTTGCAGTTTGAAAATTTATTGTAAATTTAATAAATAGGCCTGTAAAAGTAACGATTTGTTCGCTACCCGTATGTACTCGTTACTTTTAGATTGACTACTCGTTACAAATATTCGTTACTCGTTACTTTCGTTACTTGGTTGCTAGAATAATATAGAACCAATTTAAATACCGGTTGTATATGTGTGCGTGGTAATCGTCAGCACATTCATACCATAACTAAATTACAATGAATGTTGATGTAGTTGTAAATAAGTTGGGAAAGGAAAAGAAATGTAACTGCAATATGAATAAAGAATTTTTTTTTTAAATTTATGATTTATAACATAACATTATACATATAACATATAAATTTCAAAATCAAATGATTAATTTTTTTCTCTCGTGCTGCACTTAGAGGTTTTCTAGTAAATAATGCGATGTCGGTTTGCTGAGCTTCTTTCTTTCTTTTAGGTTCATTTGAAGAAGCTTGAAATTGCGAACATTCTGGTAAATTAACAGGTTGTTGACTAGGCTGGTTAGATATACATGTTGAAGGTTTTAACGAGAATACGCTATCATAGGACGGTCGATGTTTTGTCATTAAATGTTTTTTTAAGTTTGTTGTTGAACCCCCTTTGATCGAATACGAACATTGGCATATATCACACTTCGCCTTATTTTCTGTTTCTTTGCTAAAAAACTGCCAAATCTTACTTCTTTTCCCCTCCATGAAGTCGAGACTTTTAACAGCAAGTACTGAAACAACATAAAAAATACGTATCAAACTAGGAACATCGTCCGTCAGTTTACTACATAATTATGTACATTTATCTAAGTATTCAATTCTCCCCGATTTTAAAAGATTTGTTATATATATTCGTTGCTTACACGGTTACGGTCATTCCACAATAATACAAAAAATCACTATAATTTATATTAGGTTTTTAAGTGGGTACTCATATTTTATTTTATAGATTTCATTTACGCTCCTAATTCCTCCCTCAAATCCTATTAAAATAAATATCACATATTTAAAACTTACCTATTTAAAATTTAAAGGAATTCACCATCAAACAACTCTATCAAGTGGCAACAAACAGAGCAACAACAGCATAAACAAACACAAGTCGGTTCGAGCAGATCACATCACATACGAAACATACGAAAGTAACGACATACGACATCCGAACCGTCATGCGTCACCCATATTCCCATATAATACAGGATACGTACGTCTAGCAGCCCGCCAGACCGCATAGCAAACCTTCGGTCACTTTGGTGATGTATTGGTTGCGTATAACATCGATGCTTGCTGATAGCGATAACCGCGTAATTCAAATCGTTACTGAAGTACTGTATGCTGTGCATTATTTTAAATCTTATTATATTCCTGCAATCACTTAGCTTTTATTTGATATTGTTATGTGAGTTGATTCACTTTAACAAGTTTAATATCTTCATAAACATATTTTTTCGAATAAGTCTTTTGGTACTGTTTCAAACATGCGAGTAACGATATGTTTATGAAAGTAACGATTCGGTACTTCGAATCTTTCCTACTATTCGTTACTCAGTAACGAATACATACGGTTCGTGACAGCTCTATTAATAAATACATCCACGAATTAATAAAAGCGGGGATACTATCTGTCTTGCTGCCACTACGTAGAATGACACTGTCCATCATCTCGTCTAAGAAAAAATTGAAATTTGTAGTAATGGGAACCAAAAGACCATCACAAAGTGTGATTTTTTGTAAGTACACGGCTAAACTATTATGACGACCTATCCCCGTTTCCGGCTTGACGTCGGCGCCTGGGGCACCCTGTATGCTTTGATGATTTAAAGTAATTTCATTGTTTCAATATCAATTAATTTGGTTTCTCTCCTACCACCTATTAAAGCTTGTACGTGGCTCCAACCAAGAGCAAAGGTCATACAGACAGCTCTGAGACACAATGAAAACTAGGAGCTTCTGTGTGGTGGATATATAGTATATCACATAATTTAATTGAAACAACACCCTGCTGGCACAGGGTTTCCATAAGCAATGCTATCATTAAAACTAAGATTGACAATCTCTTCGATGGCAGTGTCTGTAGGAGGTAGTTCAGTTGAGCAAGCCATTAATTCGGCATCACTGGTTACTTTCAAAGTGTGGTTCATCTCTTCTCCTGATAATTTCATTAGCTCTAAGGCCAGCTTTTCAAATATCACGCCTACACCCTGGAATAATGAAAACGCTCATACAAATCATTTCAAATCTGTAAATGTTGTACTTTCTTGTTCAGTAACATTAACTTTTAAGGTTGAATTAACATGAAGTATGATAGTACATTTTAGACTATTGAATATTTGTTATCCTACGAGATCTGCAAATTAAGTGAAGAAACTGATTATTTTCATTTTTCTTATCCAAATATAATTTTAATTTTTATTTCCACCCTCAAAATAATTTCCTTTTGAATTTACACAACGCTAGGGACGGTTCTTTCAATCCACATATCAGTGATGGAACTCCGATACTGGAATAGCCTTCAGCTTGTCGGTTACAGCCGTTTGAATGTTTTCGACTGTCCCTTGACACCTTGAAGTGGTCTTCAAGTCTTCAACTTCGGGAGAACAAAACAGTCACACATCAGGCGAATAAGGGGGCCGAGGAGCTACAGGAATGTCTTTACTGGCCAAAAACTCGTTCATTGACATTGATGTGTGACAAGGAGCATGATTCTTGATCTGATGAACGGTGGTGTGAGTCAAATTTAACTGTTCCCCGATCATTCTGACTGTTAACCGATGATCTGAACGCACAAGATCTTGAATTCTGTCGATATTTTTATCGACCTGATAGCCCACCGTTGCTCGAAATTGATATCATTTATTTTTAGAACAATAGGAAAAACTGTTTCACAAAAAATTGCTACGGACAACCAAATTACTCGATCGAGTTCATACTTGTACTGAAGGCGGATCACATGTCTCCCCTACAAGTCCGGCGCTTCCAGTGTTGCTAGATTGAACGCTACGTTAGCAATCTCATCACTTAATTTGAAGAGTTCATACATAGATTATTATCGTTAGAGATAAAGATAGAAATAGTATACCTGGTCAGTCATTGCAGAACATTCATAATATGAGGCACCTATACTATTTGAATACTGCATAGCTTCAGTCCGAGAAATCTGTAAATGAAATTCAACATATGAAATCAGTTTTTACGCAGGCAATGTTTCATGTTTTTAGAATATCACGTGTATCAAAGATGTTACCCGGTTTATAACTGTTGCTAACTGAAGCAAGATTAGTAAAAGCATTCAAACCAATTTTTTGAATGTTTCCTAAATCGTAATAAGTTAACTACTTAATCTTACTTAATCTTCAAATTTAAATCTTATATTGAATCGAGTTTTTTTTTCATTAGTATGTAATCTACAGTGTCAACCAACTTGAAGCTACTTTGTTAAGCACTGAATCAAAAAGGCTACCACTTCAATTAAACATAATGAAACGTATAAACAAAAAAGGTTGGTTATCTTATCTACCGCTTCAGAAATTATTTAATCTCATTTAGTGATTGAGACTTTTGACTAAACAACATACACAATATTATCGTTTTTTGTTTCATGTCTCATTCATTTCAACATTCTCTTCTGACATAATTTCTCACTAAAGATAATATTTTAATCACAACATATAGTAGAATGCATGTCTTTGAACTGTTTCATGTGCGATACTACGATTAATAATATGCAAAATTTATATACTTGAGACTTCACACATTTGACTGGTCCAATCAGATTTCTTCAAATAGCTTTAAATATGTATAAGAATTACGAATATTTGCTAACAAAATTTTGAAATGAAAACTGGTAGCATCTACTCCTAAAGTTCGCTTGTCGCAGTTGAAACTAGAATTTGCTAGCACTGTACGATCAATCCAATCCACAGATTTGCTGATGACCGCACTCTACATTCAGAAATTCAGAGCGACAAGCCATCTTTGCCGGTGAGCTGGAAAAACAAGACTAGCAATGTCTTCTTCTCTGTCGAGACCTGCAAGTTATCACTGTTTAGGAACGCAACAATCTTGTACAGTTTAATGCTTCCAAAACACAGTACTGTACCTTGGCGAAGAGAAAGCATCCTAGCGCTCATCTGGTTTCGATAGATGACCGACTTCTGCCAAATAGACATTCATATCGGCTGGTCGGAGTCCAGATCACCGAGGCCTTGATCTGGCACAAACACATCTCGTCAATAACGCCGGGAAAAAGCTATGCCTTTTGTTTAGGGCTAAGAAGTACATTTCTCCACATGACCTCCTCACTACCTATAAGCTCCAGATAAGATCTAACCCCGAGTACTGCTCACACGTTTGGGGTGCTGCCGCACCGACTTCATTATTCATGCTGTCTCGGAACCCTTTCGCACCGACGAGCCGTCGCCGATCTAGCTCTCTTCTGCCGCTAGACCAACGGACTTTACTCCTCAGACCTCTCCTTCATAATACCGCCGCGCGATGTGCCTGCCAGACAGACACGCCTGACTTCTGCCTTCCATCCTAACCGTGTCGAAAGTCGTACATCCAGAACTAACCGATACGACCGGTTCTTTGTCCCCGTAATCTAATCATATTAGGAAATTTCTCCTAAATAGTTGTAAAGTTTGGTTTTATTGATGCAAGTTGTTCAAGGGGTATTTAAAATATGGGCGCATAAAATGGGCACACCAATTTTTGTGGGAAAACTTTTTATTCGACAACAAAGGAGAAAGCGTTTTTTTTTGGATTCAATCAAAAGTGTTGACAGGAACGAAAAACTTAAAATAAGATTTTTAGGTATTAACGAGACCTACAAAAAAAGAAAAAAGTTATGGCCGAAAACTAAGGCAAAATGCAGGTTTTGGCAGTTTGGTAATGCGACCATAGTTTCATCATACTTCTAAATAACCACAACAAAATTGTAGTAGATTGATCAAGTAGTTTTTGAGAATTTCTAATAATTGTTTATTCCACAACACCTGTTTTACTAGTTTATTGAGCAATATACAAATCTACAGGGTTCGTTCAAAGAACATTTTATAGCAAAATACACGCGTTTATCCTGCCAGTATGAATCACAAACCATTCCGAAAGTAAAATGCTATTTTTTAAACGGAAAAGAAGTTTTTTTCTTCTAAACAAATTCAAACATTTCGTATTTATGAGTAATTGAGCCGATGCGCTACGATATTAAAAAAACAATCGCTATTTTGAAACGAAACGGATGTGTCTATCCCCTTTTGTTGTGAAGAAAAAAACCTTTTTCAAGATTTCCTCATACTCTTATGTATGCTTATTTAGAGATGAAGTTTTTACATGGTCGCAGATGAGCCTCAAAGTTAATAAAAAAAAACGTTCATACTGACTATAAAGTTATCAAGCAAATTGAAGGCACAATTATATGTATCAAACTATCTTCGCCTAATTAGTATGGAGCATGTACTAAATAGCTACACTATTCATGACTGCATGACTTTGTCAGATAAGTAGGTCACGAATTCCAGTTTATTTACGAAGAAAGATAATTCCCTTGACATTTTTTCTAAAAGTACTAATATAGTTCACGTGTGTTTTTAAGAAATTACGTTAGACCAATATCAACCAATTGTAGCTGACTGACCGTTTTAAAAATTAGGCAAAATGCTCGCTATTAGCCCCTAATACATTATTTAAAGATTCAGCATTGTAGCTTGTATAGTCTTTAAGAGAACTCCAGTCATTGTTGGTTGTCAGAGCGGTCCGTGGGACCTGAGCTCTCAAGTCACAGTATCAGTTTGTAAGTCTGTCAGGTCTGATAACCCAGAAACCAGACAATTTTAAGAAAAAAGGGAAGGAAAGGAGAGAAGGAAGAACGAGAGCAAAGAGGAACAAGATGATCTTTTAGGACAGGCAGCGTGTAGGCATTGTTAAAATAACTTCACAGATTTTAATATGGTCTAAAAATATTTGATTTTTTCTAAAGATTTTGTCAAAATGCTACAATTTTGGTTGTTCCAAGTTCACGAATTAATATTGACTACAGCCGCGGCCTTTTGTACTTGCAAACTTGCTCGACTGTGTAGTCCACTGACTCGCGCAACAGAGGTTTGCTGTGTGATTCGGCTAGGCTATAGCGCTGTTGCGTCTGTTGCTTAATGTAGTCCTTCAGGTAAGGAACATCGAGGTCTCTATGAAGAATTTCGTTAGAGACATACCATGGGGCGTCAGTAATAGTGCGCAACGTCCTGCTTTGCAGAACCTGCAGATTTCGCATGTGTGTTTTGGCAATAAAACATCAAGCCGCACAAGTCATTGCTGGTCTTATGACCACCTTATCGATTGGAATCTTGTTAATCAAATTAATTTTGAACGTTTACATAATAATGGGTAAAGCTGTCGAAACGTAATTTGGAATTTAGTTTTTAACGCTTCTATATGATTCCGCCCAGTCATCCCTTTGTCCAGAATGACACCGAGATACTTAGCGGAGGATTCCCATGGTATACGAGGTCCATTCATTGAAACTTCAGACGGAACGCCGCGACATCTTTTTGTACAGTAGATTGCCTGCGTTTTCGAATGGTTAATTTTAATCAGCCACCGATCCGCCTAAAGAATACTTCCTCCACTGCACTTTGCAGCCTGTCGTGGATTAGGACCGAACCCTGAGGGCAGCCGGCTGTAATCAGCCGTGTTGTCGACAGGACATTGTCAATTTTGATCCGAAATTTCCTACCGTCAAGGAAGGATTTCAGAAGTTTTAGAAGGCAAAAATGGAAGCCCTTTTGGATTAGTTTATACAAGAGGCCCGCGTGCCACACCTTGTCAAATGATTTTGAGACATCCAAAAGCAAGATACCAGTACTTTCGTTAAGGGTGAATCCTCTGGTTACTCGTTCCATCAGCCTAACCGCCTGTAGCTCCGTACTATGTTCAGACCGAAAACCGAATTGCACGTCAGGAATCACATCGTGATCTGACGAGAAATTCTCAAGGTGACGTAGAATCACCTTTTAAGCGAGCTTAGATGGTGCTGTCAGCAGGCTAATGGGACGATAATCCTGGGGAAATATCGAACCCACCTTCTTTGGAATCATTTTAACTTCAGCGGTCTTCCACGCAGATGGGAAGTACTGGGTCCTTAGCATGGCATTGACTATTGCCACGAGATAAGTTAAGGACTTCCGCGAAAGCAGCTTCAGCGCCTTATTAGTGATTTGATCCTCCCCAGGTGCTTTACGCACTCTAAGGTCTTTAATATGACCTTGAATCTCTGCTGGTGCGGGATCTCGGGAGATTCCGCTGATGTGCTAAGCAGATCTTCGGTTGAAGAAGCTTCTGAAGAAGAATCTTCTGATGAAGAAAAATCACCAACGATAGCGCGACTGTCACTGACGCCGTTGGCCCTAAAATATCTCCTGACAGATCTTACGATGTGTTGCTCCTCATCCAGATCATTATCAAGATCATAGTTGGGAGAGAACTAATCTTTCCATGGCATCGGCGAAGACCTCAACCTTTTCCTCTGTCCTGAAGACAATGCCTCCAGGACAGAGGGACAGAGAGTCAAGCATCCCCGCCAGAAAGTCATTCCATTGCTCACTGCGGAATTCATGAAGAGCATTTCTTACTTCATGAACAAGGTTCGTCGCTCTGCGAATGTCATCAGGATGACAAGATATTTTCGCTCGCTTTCTGACGAATGTCTGCTGGCAGAAAAGGTCTGCCGTGTCGCTGCACGGGAAGTACAGCTGCACGCTGCAAAGCTTGCTGAACAAAACTTGTCCACTCCGCTTGAGCCGCATCTATACCGTTCTCATCATCTACGAGCCCCTTCCCACTTCAGTTGGCCCAACTACTGAAATCTTAGTTTTTTTCTTATCAAACACAAATAATAAAAATGTAGCAGGGTATTATAGGTTTAAAATATTAACAATGAATATTTTGATAATATATAGTAGAAAACACCAACTCGCTAATCAAATTTGCAGCGTAAAAATAACACATGTTGCAATTACAGCATATCAACCTATTTTCATTTCAATGCAAAATAAGTATATAACGCAAAAATAAAAGCCATGACAATTGTTTTTATTAATCACAGCTGTCAGAATACGTTTAAAATAGTTTTGGGTAGTTAAGGTTTTCAAAATGGGTAGGGGAACGGTTATTAGTGAGAAAATTCGGTTACTGATAATTAAATTTTTTAATTCTGGGCAATCAAACTCAGAAATTGCAACTTTGTTAGACTTATCGCGGTAAAGTGTGAGAAATATTGCTAGAAGATATAACGTAACTGGTTCAGTTAATATTAAGCCACGATATGTGAAGAGCATTAAGAAGAATAATCGTGAAAAACAGGCGTGCCAATTATTTACAATTAAGAGCTCTGTGGAGTGACGCTGTTGGAAGGAGAATTTCGAGGTCCACAACTCATAGAGAGGCCCACAAACTGGGATTTAGCACTTGCAAGGTAAGTTTTCTTATAAAAAAAAGTGAAGTGAAAACCCTAAAGTTGCACAACTTGTTTATAGGCCAAAGAAAACCCACTATTAACTCCACTGCAAAAGAAAAATCTGCTTAGATGGGCTAAAGAACATAGACAATGGACACCTCAACAATGGTGAGCAATACAATGGAGTGATGAGGCCCGATTCGAAGTTTGTGTTGGTGACAGTCGCAGTAGAGTTATTCGCAAAAAAATGAAGCATTCCATGTTGACTGTCTGAAGAGAAAAGTGAAATTTCCAGCATCCATTATGGTCTGGGGCAGTATGTCATCAAAAGGAGTACGAAAATTTCATTTTATTGATGGAAATGTGGATACAAACAAATATTTGGCAATTTTAGAAGAATCGCTTTTAACAGTGATGGAAGAATGTTCGCAATCCGGCCAAGATTTTGTGTTTCAGCAAGATGATGCAGCATGCCATACCTAAAAAAAGGCTGAAATGGGTTTCTAGCAGTCCAGATCTGTCACCTATTGAAACTTTGTGGCACGAGATGAAAAAGGTTCTACGACAACATCCTGCTCGTACAATCACCGAACTGAGACAAAAGCTTCAAGAAATATGGGATTGTTTTACACCAAATTTTTGCCAAAACTTGGTTAACACTATGCCCTAAAGAATTACAGCCGTAATAAAAAATAAAGATGATGTTACCCAATAGTAATCTTTCAATTGTTGCTTTGTTAACTTTTAATTTAACATTGTTTATTTGTTCAGATGTTCTATTAGTTATAGGTCTAAGTGATTTCAAATATGTATTTTTTACGACTACAGTGTATCTAAAATGTTTTTCAGAAAATAAATTGTTTTAGAAGTAAATAGTTTCCTCATGTTTAGTTTATAAAGGCATATTTTGGTACAAATCTTGAAGTGGGCCAACTGAAGTGGGAAGGGGCTCGTATGATCGGATATTGGGGAACTCTCCGAGGAGCGACTTGTATAGCTCCCAATCAATGCGTTTCCTTGGAGGGGTTTCATCCTCCAAGGTATGCTCATTACCCATTTCCAAAACGACGGGAAGATGATCGCTTGAGATGTCATACATGATTCGAGAAGTGATACTGTATCTACAGTTTTTGGATAATGCAAAATCAAGAACATCAGGTGCCTGAAGGTGATTAAATGGGTGGTGCGTCGGCTCCTCAGTACTATGTGTGAGGTAGCCATTTCGTATCACATGGTTGTTCAGTCGGATCCCACTGGTGGAATTTAACCTAGAATGCCATGCTCGATGTTTGCAGTTGAAGTCCCCTGCCACAATAAGTGGACCCGAGCAGTCTAAAAGGACTTCCAGATCCGCCTCTTGCAGCCTGATACCACACCTGACATACAACGATGTGATTTTTAACGGCAGACCTCCCGTCATATTGACCACCACGGAAGCCGCTTCGATGCTCTACATCTCAGCGTTTGTGCTTCTGTGGTAGTCAATACAGCGTTTCACTAGCACCACCAAACCGCCACCCCGTCCAGTCAATCTATCAGCTCGGATAACATCGTAATTCGGGGAAGCTAGACGATCTCCCGGATTAAGTAATGTTTTATGCAGCAAGGCCACATCTATACTTTCGTCCACAAGTGCTGGATGAAATTTCCGTTTTTTGGGAATGTCCTTTAGACCCAAACAATTCCAAAAAAGAATTTTGTTAAATGCAGGCGGTCGTCGATTGTACCTAGCCATTTGCAGGAAAGATCGCCTGCAAAGGCTGTGTTGCGCTAATCAGAGGACCTAGGACCTATGATCTGCTGTAAGGACCTTAGCGCGGTTACCAGGTCCACATTTTGCGTGTTCGCAGAAGACCCCACAGAGGGGGCAGCTCGGGTTGCATCCCTAGCTGCATCCGCGTAACTTACATTGCGCCTTTGCGCTATCACTTGCAGATTTTTCTTAGGGGCAAATCTGGAAGTTCGGCTATTCGCTGGATGCCCCCCTCCACAGTTCGCACACTTTCGTTCCTCTTGTTCTGTTTGAGGGCATAAGTGGGTCATGTGGTCAGAATCACATTTTAGACACTTAGGTGGTGCAGTGCAGTAAGATTGCGCATGGCCATATTTTTGGCAGCGGTGACACTGCCCGATGAGTCTTGAGTTCCTTTTAACTTCGACTTGGATAGCCAAACCTAGCAGCTCATGTTCGTTGAAGAGCTGCTGAGATATTTCTATCTTGGGCAGTATGACTACCACCAAAGGCATGGGCACGCCGCCACCGCTTTTCAGGCGAATTATGTGCAGGGGGGAATATCCCCTCTGTTGCAACTCTTCCTTGATCTCCGTTTCCGAAAGTGTCGCAGGTACTCCTCTGATTACAGCATGAATGTTCCTCTCCGAGGGTAGAGGGAAAGTGTGATGGGGCACCTCTTTCTCCCTGAAGAGATGAATAATCCTGCGGTAATCATCCTCGGACTTGGGAATTATCCTGATTCCTGCATCGACGGCAACCGCGCGTTCGAGTTTGATGCCCAAAGAAATAAACTTGTGATTTACGCCATCTCGAAGAATCGCGAAAGAACGATGGGGGTAACACGTACCTTGCGTGGGGGCTGTGCAGTCGTGTCTTCTGATACCTGAGATGTCGAAGGCGAAGAAGTAACCGATAGATTAGGCACAGGCTGTTGACTCGAGTCGCTTGCAGTTGAACGACACGTTTCAGACTGCGATTCTGGTGGTGCGAGAGGTGGAAAGCCTGTCATGGCGGTCTTGTTTCGTCGCGTTTTACGGAGCTTAACCGTGACAAAGCAGTCAGGGAGTGTATCTTCGTCAGTGAAATGATCGCTTGAATTATTTAACGGTCTCTTAAGATTGACAGCTTTGTCTTTACTGGGATTTGTTGAATTCTTTGGGAAGAATGTATAGTATTTAGATGGGAAGGTACCTGGGTTTTCAGTAGGAGATCTAATTTGACTGTTAGGTTAATTGTCCGCTGCTAGGCTTCGATGATCATCATCAATCTTTCAGTGGTCTTCTTATCATCGTCCTTTTTGATCAGCTCCTGTCGAATCATCTCCAATTCGACTCTCAACTCCTCTACGGTCTGCTTCCTCGACTCCGTCTCGATTGCCATGATGGATGAGCCATTTCGTGACCCCCTGGATCAGTTTCCATAGTAAATATCTCATTTATCTCGCTTTTCGCCACAAAAATTTTCCGGATTGAAATTACGGGACAGCTGCTACCAGTGCCCTATACAGAGCGATTTTTAAGAGTACTGTATTTGTTTGTAAGAGATATGGTATGCCTCCAACGTTCGCTGGACATTTGTCAGTGTCAAGTATAGAGGAATAAAGATCCAATTAACCAAGACCCGTCAGCGTAACGGTTGCAGATCCGCAGGAGGTTCATTTCGGTATAAAGTATTTTTTTATAAGCTTTAAGACTCATCTGCGACCATGTGAAAATTTCTGAAAAGGTCTGAATATATATCATCTTATGTATGAAGAAATCTTGAAAACATTTTTATTCGCAACAAAAGGTGATAGACTCATCGGCTTTGTTTTAAAATATGTATAATGTATGTTTTTCGAATATCGTAGCACATATGTTCAATTACTCACAAGTACGAAATGTTTGAGTTTGTTAAGAAAAAAAAAACGTAACCATTTCTTTTTCGCATAAAAATAACGTTTATCTTTCGGAATGGTTTGTAATTTATATCGGCAAGGTAAATCCCTGTATGTTGCTATAAAATGCCCTTTGAACGGAGCCTGTATATTGCTCAATAAACTAGTAGATATAGCCGGAAAACAGGTATTTTGGGATAAGCATACCAATTGTGTTGTGGTTACTTAGAAGTATGAATCCTACAGATTTGAAGAATTTCAAGTAGGCGCGTGAAATTATCATTATACCAACAAGACCCAAAACCTGCATTTTGCCTCGTTTTTAGGCCATAACTTTATTGCTATTAATCGGATACTTTTTTACTGTGGTATCATTTTGTAATTCTCACACATACCTAAGAATCTTACTTGAAGAGTTTCTTCGTTCCTGCCAACACTTTCGATGGAATCCCAAGAAACACGTTTTCTTTCTTTGTTGTCGAATAAAAAGTTTCCAGCAAAAATTGGTGTACCCATTTGATGCGTTCATGTGTTAAATACCTCCTTAAACAACTTGCATCAATAAAACCAAAATTACAATTATTTCCCAAACCAGGGTGTTTTCGTCTAATATGATTTGTGGATCAGTCTACAAGAGGATGATTTTCCCAGTTCTACTAACCTTATGCAGTTCAAAAATCGGATAACAAAGTTTCTTTCGATCCTCATAGCAGCCGCGGTGACCTGGTATTTATGCTTATACCTGTGCGGATGCTTCGGTGTAAAAAACAGCACGCCTCTCATTTTGTGACAAATACAAATATTTTCGACAATTTTGAATATAAACAGGGAAAACAGCAAAAGTGTATACCTCTCTTATTTCTGGCAAGTCAATCTTATTTCCCACAACAAATAGCACCATACGTTCCTCAACATTCCTTTTCAGTTCTAGCACCCATCCTTTCATACTTTCAAAGGATTTGCTGGAAGTTATATCAAATACTAGTAATGCAGCATTGGCGTTACGGTAGAACATCGGAGCCATAGCTTTAAATCGTTCTTGACCGGCAGTGTCCCATATCTAAAATGTTTGGCATTGAAAAATGTTTGTAGTGTAGGAGAGTGATTCTATTTGTATTATTATTATAGTATTACTTGAACAATATTCATGTTTTGAAATCAGAAATTACAATACCCTGTATCTTGACAAGGGAACATTTCAAGACTTTTATAGAAACCTTTTTTTTGTTATTCTTTGACGACTCTAGAAATATTGCCTACCGTAGACTCATAGCATTTCGTTTAATTCACTCAAGTAATTTAAGATAAGTTAAAGATATTGGTATTAGGAGAAATTACCTTGAATGTATCTCAGTAAAGAAATCATAAAATACACAAGTTCATATGAACTATTTTGTTCAGTTTAATAAGGCCTGTAATATAAACCTCTATAACTGTATACATACATAAAAACGAATAAAAAAATAAAGATCAAAAGCGGCTATAATCAATGGGTAAGATTTTTAATGTACAGAATTTCAAACGCATTCCACTAAAAATCTATCCAGTGGAATTGGGTTCCGAGGTTTAAATCTAAGGTCGCTCCAGTATTTCAACAAATCTAGAGGTCAATACTGCTGTGGTTAATAAAATACCTTATTTGCAGAAATGTTCCAAAAAATTGAAATTAGTGTGCGTCTGTGAAATTATCAGAAATACAAAAACGACGCAGTCTGACAGTAGAGTAAGTTAAATGTTAAATAAGAACTTATAGTTCCTACACGATTTTACAGTATTTTCATTAAGCATGGCAAAATTGACAATAAGATGAAACATGAAATAAAAACTATGTTTCGATATAGCTATACTATACCTGCAGCGCAACCTTCAAGTTTTCATCTATATCAATACTACAATTGAAAAATGAAGCACCTATGGTTGGAGTAGTTTGCTGAGGAAATGTGTTTTCAATATATCTTATTATGGTTGACGTTTTACCAACACCTATAACAGAGAAGCATAGTTAATTTCAAGTAATTTTACTGCTTACATAAAAAAAGGAAACTCGCCTAGTCTATTCCCACCAATATCTCTCCAGAAATTGACATGGAAAAATTGATTCACTTATATAAAGTTAAAAACCAAATATAACAAGCTAAAAGCTGTATATATGGAATACAATCCCCTACTGTAAGAGTGTGATGTTTGAGGTTTTTACTGTACAGAACTAGTAGGGTGGTATTGAATCAAAAACTAACAATGCTATGAAATGATTTCAACCAATAAAATAGATCTGCTATTATGAAATATGCTCAGGAGGATTTGAAAGGAAGTACCACACAATTCAGCTTTAAATTGTGAAAGCAGTTAAGAAGTTATTGATTATGTACTAATGAATATTATTAGTAGTTACTTAAATTATACACATATACAATAAAACCTTTGTCAAGCACAAATACAGCTATTAAATTAGCTGGGTGCTTCAATATAATTATTGATTAACATATTCCAACTGGAGTGTTATAACACATACTATACCCATAAAAAACTATGTAATACCACCATATATATGTATAAAATTGTAAATTTTCTTGGACAAATCAACTGTATGGAACTTAACAAGTACTATATGATTTGTTATATTTAAAAGCAACTTTTTGATCAAATTCTGCCTTTGAAAACATTAGAGGCAACGTCAGTGTCAACTTCGTCTCAATTTTGATTTGTTAGTAACTACTTGATGCCAAATTTGATGCAATACTGTACTTATATACCATGAATGGCACTAACATTGAGCAGTCTCCTGAATGCATCCATTTTTTTTCTATTGATAAAAGCGAAAATTATGATAATGAACAGAAGTTTAAAATGCTTGATATCTAGTATTTATTCTTTCTTTAATGACTAAAGCTTAACTGTGAATATGACTCTATGAACTGCTGTTTGCTGAAAAGGTGGGAATGAGTGTCTTGACATTTTGATTTTACAATCAGAGTTGATGCATTGTCAAAATTTTATGAAGAAAGGTCCACTTGCAGCAGTGAATACTTGAATACAACATAGTTCAGTTGAAACAGAACATCACCAGTCTAACTGCCAGCCACTATCAGTAAAGCATCATAGACAATGGTTTGAGAGGATAGAGCTTTGGTTTAGTGTAGGGCTGTTGTGAAAAAGTGGTATCAGGTTTATGTCACAACAAATTTAATTGGTCCCCATCATACCTAAGAGCAGAAAATGCCGTCGAGTAGATTGACTCTATGCTTCCGACGCCTTTGAAACAGCTGTAGTGAAATTTCATCTATACACAGTGACATCAAAAGAACATAGGTTCTCCCACAACCACTAAAGCACTCAATAGGCATGAATTTCTCAGATCACGGCGATGAGTGCGTTCATACTGTCTGTACAAGGCAGCCTTATTTTTTGGAGCTGATTGAGGTGAAGCACTGCCAATAATGGCGATTTTATTTTTTGCCCAAAGCTTCGTTTCAGAACTTCAGTACCCTCCAAGTTATAGAGGGATCATGCAAGTATTAGCAAACAAACCAACAGACAGCCAGATGGACCCACCATGTGAGTGGATGAATTGGAACGGGAAGTAAAAGCAAACAAAGCAAGTTTGAATTAATGAACATTTGAGGAGCAACTTTTCCAAACTCATTTTGTCCAAAAAATGTTTTTTTAGGTATTAACGAAAAACGATTTTCATTTAACCGTGTCATATACTTTTAGGACAGCAAGTTTTTTTGATAGAAACTAATACATAGATGTTATAAGTTATTTCAGTTAAATCAAAACTTATCAGAAAAAGTGGAAAAATCTAAAAAATGTTTAGACTTGATGCATTTTGTTTTGTCACAATGGCTTGACAGAAAACAGTTGGTAGTGAAATTCAGCTTACAGCTATTTTGATGATACCAACTAGTATCAAGAACATTTTTTTTTATTTAATTTCTGTGAAACATACAAACGTAAAAAGTTAAATTTGTTCCTGGTTAGGGTCTCCTTTGAGACAGTTGCACATGCAACTTTATTCTACTGCATCTTTGGCAGGATCTGTAATGTCAGCGTCTGGATATGAATTTTCAGTGACTGGTTCTTTCATGACTTTTAAGGCATAATTATAAGCAAAAACGATGATAGCGGGATGTTATCTTCCCAGTCTTGTTTTGTTTCTTGGGGAGTTTTTTGCTAGCCAGAATGTTAAGTCATTTATAACCTGCTGAGTTTTGTTCTGGCCTGCGCAGCCATCCGCGAAAAGAATAATTTGGGGTATGGAGTCATCAATATGCAATTGGTCTTAAGCATCTACTAGGCTGAAGAAATTTCTTAAGCACCTCTTGCAGCTTCTGTTTCATTCCAGACATAGAAATGTGCATTTTCAGCTGCAACAACAGTCACACAGCTATTTTGATTGATATACACATATGTTCTAGTGGCAAAATGACATAATGTATTTTGATACAACTAGATCTGTGGACAAAATGCATTTTGATGTGAACACTATACTTTGCACGTCAATTACACAGGTATATAATGTGTATTGGAACCTTTTATTTATATAGGAATGTAGAACCAAATAAATGATTTCAGAAACCGGTTCAAGCTCAATTTTGTCCAAATTGGACAAAATGGGTTTTGAGAAGTTGCTCCTCATTTGGTCAAATATAGTTGGTATCATGCTGGGTCATTCAGTTTTATAGTTGTGTATAGTTTAGTCTTTTATTAAGATCACATATCATTATAATAGCAGTTTCTACCCCTACAAAATCCAACCCGTACGTCCTCGAGTTCGTTCTGCGGGGCGGCCTTGGGCGCTGAACCGTGTGCGACCGTGTAGGGGGGGCAACGGGGTGCCGGTCTTGCGGTGGACCGCCTCGATTAGTTTTTGAGGAGACCCGCCGGAAAGCCGGTAGCCCGGCCAATCGAATGATTCGTTGAGCCACAGGTGTCTCGGATGTATATCTGGGACGCCTGCAGCTCAACGGTCATCATGGGCAATGGTACGTTACCCAACCCAAGGTGTTAAGCGATTCCGTGCCGAGGGGTGCGTGGCGGTGGGGATGCACCGTCTTAAACGGAGCCTCTGGGACACCGGGCGACCTCCCAGAGTATCCAGCCTTGCGTCCGTGCAGGGGCACCGCGGACGTCGATCACCACTTCCCCTATACTCGTGGGAACATTATGGAACCAAACGATGGAAAAAATAATAAAAAACCCGAGGCCCCCCCTACAGGGGACCCCGAACATCCAGGCGACCCCTCACCAGGGGACCCTGATCGTACTCTGACAGAGGAATCTGTCAGAAGCTTAGCGAGAGAGCTAGCGGAAAGGGTGGGCTCTCTAAAGATTAAGAAAAAGTCTCGGCCAGGTTCCGAAAGGAAAAGGGCTCGGAAGCGGAGAGAGGCGCAGATGACGGAGGGCTCGGAAGGTCGGGGCACCACTTCTGGGACCCCGGCTGGACGGACCCAACCGCCATCTGGGCTAGACGGTGCGCAATCCGGTGTGTCAGCGGAGACCCTAAAGCGGCCCGGTGACGGGAAGCGGCAGAGGTCTGCCGGTGGGACACCGGAGGGCGCATCCTCGCGGAAGAAGCCTCGCACTGCGACGCATGCGCAAATTAGTTATGCGCGAGCGTCCCAAGCGGGTCTCAGGGTGGCCGTCGTGTCCGACGGTTATCCTGGGACTCAACTTACTAATGTACAGGTGCAGCAGGTCCAGGAGGCGGTCAGTGTGCTGATAGATGGGATCCCAGATGAGGTGACCCTTCCCAGGTACATTGACTGCTACCTCTCTCGAGGGGCAGCCATCTTTGTCTGCGAGGACGAATCCTCTAGGGCATGGTTGGAGGCCCACGTGGGGGATCTGCGGCCGTGGGAAGGCGCAAGGCTCATTACGATGAGCTTTGGAGACCTTCCCATATACCACCGCGTGATGGCCTGGTTTCCGGGTCCCAACCTGGACAACGGGGTCATCACGAGGAGACTCAGGAGGCACAATCCTGGGACTTTTCCCAGCGCGTGGAGGATACTTGAGAGGAAGGAAGAGCCGATAGGTGTCCGACTTGTCCTCTCAGTTGATTCCATAAGCTGGAAGGTCATTGTAGGTAACGGCAACAGGCTGTGTTGCGGTGGAAGTTCGGGGGTGTTTACACTCCTGAGCAAGAAGAAGAGCAGTGGAGCGACACCTGCTGGAACTGGCCTGGCTCCAAACCAGGAGTCGGACCAGCCCAGACCGACGGGAGCTGTGGCGGTAGACCAGGCTCCTTCACAGGGGATGGGTCGGCCGGGTCAGCTCTCGCTGGAGCCACCGGAGGCTACGGACGTGGAGGCGGCGGGTCCAAGCGGGATATCCGCAGAAAACATCGTGGCGGACCCTGCGATGGATCTGGTCCCAGAGGAAAACGATAGCGACTCGGACGAGGATGGAATCCTGAACCGAGTCCGAGAACTCCTCCGTGGAAGCGGAGATGAAGGCGGCTGTGGCAGCGATGACTGCGGCGGCGACGGCGGTACGCCCGAATAGGGGTTACATACCGTCATTCGGGAAGGTGTAGGAAGGGCCTCTCAACATCCATGGTAAGTTTTAATTTCATCCAAATTAACTTACAACACTGCATAGCGGCTTCGAGGGCCCTTACTCAGGAGATCACTCGAGGCCGACATGACGTGGCTCTCATCCAGGAACCCTGGCTGAGAAACGGTTCAGTAAACGGGCTTAGTATACCAGGCTATACGCTTTTTAGCGATACTCCGGACACTAAGCCCAGAGCTTGCGTAATGACTTCCGTCAACTCATGGCAACTTAAAGAATTTACATTTAGAGACTTAGTTGCAGTCAGAATTAGATATAAGAAGGAAGGCAGTGACAGGGACTTGGTTGTCTGTTCGGCTTACCTTCCTTACGATTCAAGAGACCCTCCTCCGTCTAAGGAAATGGGGGACCTTGTCGCATTCTGTAGGGATTCTGGACTCGACCTTGTGATTGGATGCGACAGTAATGCCCATCACGTTGCGTGGGGCAGCTCGAACACCAACAGACGAGGCGAAGACCTGATGGAGTTTCTTGGGGCATCGAACCTTGAGGTTCTGAATGTCGGTAACATGCCCACTTTCAGCAATAGTGTAAGAGAAGAGGTTATCGACGTAACACTGAGCACGCTTAACTTAGCTCAGGACATCAGGGACTGGAAAGTGTCTCTAACACCCTCTCTATCGGATCACAGGTTTATACTGTTCAAGACTGATGGAGAGATTCCGGATAAATATGCTCGGAATCCCAGGCATACTAGATGGGAGTCCTTTAGGGCAGACATTGACAGTAAGCTTGGAGCGGTCCCATACAGGCTTGGCAGGGGCTCTGACATAGAAGCAGCTGTCGAGTCTCTGAGCAGGGACTTGACGGCCGCATATGAGGAAAACTGCCCGTTACGCAAAGTACAAGGTAAGGGCAAGGCAACCTTCTGGACCAAAGATTTAGAGGATAGAAAACGAGCGGTGCACAAACTTCTTAGCAGAGTTAAGCACAGGAGAGGTTCTCCTCTATGGGAAGAATACAAAAAGGCATTGCAGGAGTACAAAAAGGAGATTAGAAGGGCCTCCAGAGAATCCTGGAGGCACTTCTGTCAGTCCATAAATGACATTCCTGCTACTGCAAGAATACACAGAGTCCTATGCAAAGACACTAAAGCAAGATTGGGATCTCTGCATGATCCCTCGGGAGGGAACACTACTTCCGAGGAAGATACTCTGAGGCTTCTGATGGATACGCACTTTCCCGGTTCCACAGTAGCGCGATCAATCACAGAGTGCATGCAGTTGCGCAGGCCCTCAAGGGAGGACTGGCGCACGGCAAGGGAGATTGTCACCTTCGAAAGGACGGTATGGGCAGTAGATTCGTTTGCCCCATACAAAAGTCCAGGTCTGGACGGCGTATTTCCGGCCATGTTACAGCAGGGACGGATTTCGGTTGTTCCTTACCTGTTGAATGTGTTTCGAGCATGTGTGGCCACGGGCTTCACACCTAGAAGTTGGCGGCAGGCTAAAGTGGTATTCATTCCTAAACCGGGCAGAGATAGATATACTGGCCCGAAGGATTTTCGACCGATTACTCTTTCATCTTTTGTGCTTAAGACCCTGGAAAGGATAGTTGATAGATACCTAAGGGATGGCCCACTGGAAAGGTGTGTCATTCATGCAAATCAGTTTGCATACCAAGCTGGAAAATCGACTGATCTGGCCTTACACAATCTGGTTGGGAGGCTGGAGAAGACTCTAGATCAGCGAGAAGTGGCACTCGTGGCCTTCTTAGATATTGAAGGTGCATTTAATTGCACCACAACCGACTCTATCAGACAGGCCTTGGTTAGACACGGGGTTGGATCAATCCTAATAGATTGGGTCCTCTCTACTCTGGAGGGTCGGGTAACAACAGCTATGCTGAATAACGTAAGCTGCAGCGTGAACGTAGCTAGAGGCTGCCCTCAGGGTGGAGTTCTGTCACCCCTACTGTGGTGTATCGTGGTGAACGAACTGCTCGTTAGGCTCAACAGTATGGGTGTCTACGTGCAAGCCTATGCTGATGACGTAAGCATAGTGGTTAGGGGGCGTTTCTGTAGAACAGTCTCGGAAATTATGCAGGGCGCTCTGCGCTCCGTGGAATCGTGGTGTAGGGAAGTCGATCTTTCTGTTAATGCTGAAAAGACCGAGCTGATCCTATTCACTAGGAGAAGAAGGCTTGACGGACTGGTCATGCCTACCTTCTTTGGGACTAGATTAGTTTTGTCCCAGTCAGTGAAATATCTGGGAATTATCCTGGACTGCAAACTGAACTGGAGAGAGCATGTGGAACACAAGGTTAGCAAGGCTCGCAATTCGATGTGGGCTTGTAGACGTGTTGTCGGTGTAAGGTGGGGGCTTAAACCCAAAGTGGTATACTGGCTCTACACGACGATAGTACGTCCATCTCTCTTGTACGGCTCCCTGGTCTGGTGGCCTTGCATTAGAACTGAGTCAACTAAGGCCAAACTCAATAAAATTCAGCGTTTGGCCTGTATTAGCATTACAAGCGCAGTGCGAACAACGCCATTGAGTGCAATGGAAGCTCTGTTGGATCTCCCACCGTTGGATCTGGTGATCCGCGGTGAAGCGAGAGTAGTCGCTCATCGACTGTGGAGTCAGGGCAGCTGGGCTTTCTTGAATCCGGTCAAGGGGCATACTGCCATATTAGTCGAATTAGATAGGGAGGACCCCGTCCTTCTAAGCAGGGGTGATCGTATTACCCCTAAATATCGCTTCAACCGCAAGTTCATTGTGGAGTACCCAACGAGGGAGGAGTGGGACGCCGGTAGCCGAGGACTCTCCGAAGTGAGCGGGCAGGTCTGGTACACGGACGGCTCGGTCACCGAAGAGGGCTCAGGTGCTGGGGTCTCTGGACCTAGAACTAGGCTATCTCTGCCTCTCGGTGAGTACACCACCATTTTCCAGGCGGAAATCTTTGCGATTCTGGCTTGTGTATCTCACATTCTGGAGGAGGGTGGGCCTAGGAGAAGAATAACAATCTTATCCGACAGCCAGGCTGCAATGAAAGCACTAAGTGCATGTAAGATTACTTCGAGTCTTGTATTGCAATGCAGGGAGGCTCTGGATTGCCTCGCAGCGAGGCATCCGGTATCGTTAATATGGGTACCGGGGCACGCTGGGATAAGGGGCAATGAGACGGCGGACACTCTGGCGAAAACAGGATCAGCCAGCAAGCTCGTTGGTCCTGAGCCAGCTCTAGGAGTAACCGCGCATAAAGCTAGGAGGAAAATGGAGACGTGGGTTGCAAGACAACACTCTCAGAAATGGAGAAGTATCTCTAGACATCTCCGCCAGGCACGAGAGCTCATTGAAGGGCCCAGTGCTAAGGATGGACGCTTCTGCCTATCTCTGGGTAGAGCCAACCTAAGGTTGCTGGTGGGACTGTTGTCTGGCCATAACACGTTAAGGCGGCACCTGCACGTGATGGGGGTGGCTGAGGATCCCTTATGCGAACGCTGCGGAGTAGAGGAAGAGACCTCGGCGCACGTTTTGTGTCGCTGTGAAGCTCTGAGCTACTATAGGCAGACTATACTGGGGTCCATTACTTTGGACCCTCAGGACGTAAAGGAGCTTGGACTCAAGGCGATTCTCAACTTCGCTAAAAGGGCGAGGCTTGTGATTTAAGTATTGTAGAGGTGCATAAGGGCCCGCTTAAGCGGCCTATGCACTGGCTCCTTATGGTGGCCGGGATGCCTCTAAAATTCAAGATTCATTCATTCATAGCAGTTTCTAGCTCTGAAAAATTATCAAGGTGTTTTCTCAGTAATTGCAGTAAATGATGGAATGATTCGAGTATTTTAGCTAGCATGAGTCTGTTGAATGAATCTTAGATGAATTACATCAACATCAGCAAATTGTAGATCCATCAGTTGAAAGTTAATTGTCAGTTTAATAATTTCTATTTCTTGAATGATATTCAGTATATCTAAATAAGTACCTATATAATAAATAGAGTTATAGGTACATATGCAATACTTTCATCAAAACTATCACTGTTATTGTTTTTAGTAAGGAGATTATTTATCATGATAAAAGTAGCTACTCTAGGGACTAGGAGATTACAAATCTCATCAGCATCAAATATAACTTTTGAACTATAACTAATATCCAAAAATAGATAATAGAAGCATAATACAAAGTGGCAAGGTTAAACTTGGTTACGACAGATTACCCCACATTTTGAATGCCAAAGGATGTATGGTAAGTTTGAAAATAAAAATTGTTACCTGAAACTTACCTTGACATCCCAACACAACCACCTTTCCCCTGATAATTTTCATCACTCCCTTTTATCAAAACTTTCTAAGTAAATAAAATAAGGTTTTATTATACACTATAAAACAGTCACATATTTTGTGTAAATCCCCTTCACTTCCTTCACCCAAGAATTATCACATCTCAGCGTTGCTGAATTGGCTGAATTCAATGAAACCGTGAAATCATTATTTGTTCAATCTAATCTTTTGTCACAGATTATACTTTTGTTTATGTTGATTTGTTTACAAAAATTTCTAAGTCCACGCTTGACAGCATTTCGCAGCCGCATTGTACATGTTTTGTGATAGAAGAACCGATACTGCTGCTACCTATTAGTTATCTGGTAAACTTACTGGATTATAGAAGTCTTTTATCCGCTAGCTCTGCCTGACATCTGCTGGTGAGATACTTAACTTTCAAGCTTAATCTTAAGTAGGATAGATGAGGCGAGTAGTTCCAAATACAGCACGCACAAAAAAAAAACATTTTTACAAGGTTCTTCCAAAACGTATAGCAAACTATTAGTGATGTGATTAATTGGATTATTCTGAGACTATATTGTATCCCTTAATGGCCCTGAAATATTCTGTAATAACTGTTATACAGTCCCAACAAGGGTGTTTTTTAAAAAAAACTTTATTAGTAAATAGCTCCTTGATTTTCAAGAACTGTTAAATTATCTCTCTAATTCGTCTAGTGAAGACACAGGGTCATTATTTAGTGACATTGAGCTTCAAATTCATAAAAAAGTCCAGTAATTGCTGTACATCATTTCTAATCCCAATTGAAACTGATAACAAAAAACCATCAGCGCATTCTGGAATCCTATACAGGATTGTTCACTAATTAAATTTCAATATTTAAGGTAACGACGCTTGGGTCCATTTAAAGAAGAAAACTTCATATGAACGAATAACCTCTTAGCTTTTAAGAAGCAGGGGGCACGCCACTGACTTTTCTTAAGATAAAAAAGTGAACACATTAACATTGCTACTTTTCTTATCTCCAAGGTGATATAATTAGAATTTCATTTTTCATTCAACTGCAGGTAGACCATTTACTTTTTTAGTCATTTAAGGTTTTATAATATCAATCCATGTCATAGAAAATATTTTATTATAATTATAATATTACATCATTAAAATCGGAAATAGGGATTGTTGTCTAGTTCATAAAAACTGAAGAAATGCTTGGTAAATGACGGTCTGGTCAACTTAGAAAGTCATGTTCGTTTTCTTCTCAAATAACTAGGGCTTAGCAATGTCAATGTATGACATATTAATTTTGGAAACAAAATTAAAAACTCTGTTCGCCTGTGCAAAAATACAATATGGCTTTCATAATAGAAAATAAAGCTTATGATTGAAGAAAAGAGACGTATTGAAATTCTAATTATGGAATGCGAGACTTTCCAAGTGTCAAACTCTTAGTTACCGAAATGCGCAACTTTGTCCTCATTTAACCTACTTCGCAACTCAAAATAGTTCAGTCATACGTACCTACAAGGGCTAAGGCACCAATGTCTGACACCACGTATCCCAAATACAAAGCATTTCTGGGCTTTGCGTCCATTGCCCATTGGAACATTTGATTAACACAACACGTAACACCTCGCGAATTTTCATTAAATTTGATCAGTGGTCAAATCCCATGTTTTGTACTTTGCTTAGAAATGATTGCGGTTATCAAGAGTAATTTTTATTTTAAAAGAAATCAGTGGCCTACCATCAATGTCTACGAAGAATAGGTTTGTAGAACTACCGAGGTAGGGAGCGTATAAATATGCTAAAATCAAAAAACTTGAGATATATCCTCCCCCACCTGCCTGCGAGCCCCAACGTCTCACCCCTAAAACATGACCAGGAACCTCTGAAACGTCAAAAACGAAGTTTGACCAATTTTTATATTTTCTGTTTTTGTCTTTTTTCTCCGCCGCCACTAGAAAGATTTTCAAAAACTACAAAATTTTTCTGTCCTTAACAGTAACCCCGTGTGAAAATTTCATCAAAATCCGACCTGTACTTTACAAGCTATAGATGGGCCAAGGATTCGTGGACAGACGGACAGAGAGATGGACAGACCGAAAGACACAACGATAGACAGACCGACAGACATACCGACAGAAAGACCTTCAGAACGTCAGATAGACCGACAGACAGACCGAAGAAAGACCGACAGCAAGACCGACAGACAGACCGACAGACAGACCGACAGGCAGACCGACAGACAGACCGACAGACAGACCGACAGACAGACCGACAGACAGACCGACAGACTGACAGACAGACAGACAGACAGACAGACCGACAGACAGACAGACCGACAGACAGACCGACAGACAGACCGACAGACAGACCGACAGACAGACCGACAGACAGACCGACAGACAGACCGACAGACAGACCGACAGACAGACCGACAGACAGACCGACAGACCGACAGACCGACAGACCGACAGACCGACAGACAGACAGACCGACAGACAGACCGACAGACAGGCAGACAGACCGACAGACAGACCGACAGACAGACAGACCGACAGACAGACCGACAGACAGACCGACAGACAGACAGACCGACAGACCGACAGACCGACAGACAGACAGACCGACAGACAGACCGACAGACAGACCGACAGACAGACCGACAGACAGACCGACAGACAGACCGACAGACAGACCGACAGACAGACCGACAGACAGACCGACAGACAGACAGACAGACAGGCAGACCGACAGACAGACAGGCAGACAGATAGACAGACAGACGGGCCGACGAAAGTTTTCGTGATTACAAACTTCCTCGCCAGTAGTCGTGTGAAATAAAAATTACAAAGTCTGTTAATTTTCTTTGAACGGAGTGTGGCATATCTTAATGCGTATTAAGGTTTTTTTGTTTAAGTTTATGTTCTTATACTTTTTTAACTCGTCACCGCTATTTTTATGACCTTTTCATTTGTTATAGAATTTTCTGTTCTATTACTGTTCTATTAAATTATTATTATTATTTAGATAGACCCTTCCAAAAGACGAAGATTGATATAACACACTATAAGGTTTTGGCTATTAGTTGTCTACACATCATTGTTGCTCAGAGCGGCCCGTAGGACCTTTGCTTTTGATCATCATCTTGTAGGCCAGTAAGTTTGTCTGATTGATTATTTTTTTATACCTGAACCTCCACGATTGGCCAAGGCCTTAATAAAAGAGGGAAGGGGGGCGCCATGCGGAATCAAGTGAGGAAACACGTGTGGATGGAGCATGCACACATTCTGGCCCCGCCCTAGATATCCGCCGGGTAGTATCGCCCCGTTCGACAGAGTAGAGATCGTCTACCACCTACGGACAATCACAACATCCTTAGCCAGCGCAGCGCACGGCAACTGATTAGTAGACGCATAATGTCTACCACTACGTCACCGCTGATGCCATTAATCGTTTAGTTATAGGAGATTCAATGTACAAAATCGCTCAGCTTTTTCAGTCCACTGGTATGCTATTTCAAGAGATCGTCAATTAATACTGTAAAATTTTATTAATACTCCATTTAAGAAATGTTCCAAGATGGCACCCAGCCGCTATTTTGACACTTTTATGTTACAGTAACTCATATATCAATTTCATCATCCCGAATTTCAGTCTGCTAATTTGACCCTTTCAAAAAATTAAGTCGGAGGGGGCATTTCGATGAGCATTGCATGTGGTTTGATTTCGTAGCTGACATTCGTAAAAAAAGGCGTCATGTAGATTGACTCGGCAGCGACTACGCAAGGCCGTCATCAGTGCATACAGGATTAAGTTCAACGCAATTAAAATCATTTGAGAAAAAAATATTTAAGAACATGTACAGTAGAAAAATTAAATTGTTCAAGTCAGACAAATACGCCCATACAATGAATTCATATACATTCTTTCCATGCCCTAGATGATGAATGAATCTTAAAATTAGAGGCTTCCCGGCCACCATAAGGAGCCAGTGCATAGGCCGCTTAAGCGGGCCCTTATGCACCTCTACAATACTTAAATCACAAGCCTCGCCCTTTTAGCGAAGTTGAGAATCGCCTTGAGTCCAAGCTCCTTGACGTCCTGAGGGTCCAAAGTAATGGACCCCAGTATAGTCTGCCTATAGTAGCTCAGAGCTTCACAGCGACACAAAACGTGCGCCGAGGTCTCTTCCTCTACTCCGCAGCGTTCGCACAATGGATTCTCAGCCACCCCCATCACGTGCAGGTGACGCCTTAACGTGTTATGGCCAGACAGCAGTCCCACCAGCAACCTTAGGTTGTCTCTACCCAGAGATAGGCAGAAGCGTCCATCCTTAGCACTGGGCCCTTCAATGAGCTCTCGTTCCTGGTGGAGATGTCTAGAGATACTTCTCCATTTCTGAGAGTGTTGTGTTGCAACCCACGTCTCCATTTTCCTCCTAGCTTTATGCGCGGTTACTCCTAGAGCTGGCTCAGGACCAACGAGCTTGCTGACTGATCCTGTTTTCGCCAGAGTGTCCGCCGTCTCATTGCCTCTTATCCCAGCGTGCCCCGGTACCCATATTAACGATACCGGATGCCTCGCTGCGAGGCAATCCAGAGCCTCTCTGCATTGCAATACAAGACTCGAAGTAATCTTACAGGCACTTAGTGCTTTCATTGCAGCCTGGCTGTCGGAAAAGATTGTTATTCTTCTCCTAGGCCCACCCTCCTCCAGAATGTGAGATACACAAGCCAGAATCGCAAAGATTTCCGCCTGGAAAATGGTGGTGATAGCCTAGTTCTAGGCCCAGAGACCCCAGCACCTGAGCCCTCTTCGGTGACCGAGCCGTCCGTGTACCAGACCTGCCCGCTCACTTCTGAGAGTCCCCGGCTACCGGCGTCCCACTCCTCCCTCGTTGGATACTCCACAATAAACTTGCGTTTGTAGCGATATTTAGGGGTAATACGATCACCCCTGCTTAGAAGGACGTGGTCCTCCCTTTGCAATTCGACTAAGATGGCAGTATGCCCCTTGACAGGATTCAAGAAAGCCCACCTGACCTGACTCCTCCTGACTCCACAGTCGATGAGCGACTACTCTCGCTTCACCGCGGATCACCAGATCCAACGGTGAGGGATCCAACAGAGCTTCCATTGCACTCAATGGCGTTGTTCGCACTGTGCTTGTAATGCTAATACAGGATAAACGCTGAATTTTATTGAGTTTGGCCTTAGTTGACTCAGTTCTAATGCAAGGCCACCAGACCAGGGAGCCGTACAAGAGAGATGGACGTACTATCGTCGTGTAGAGCCAGTATACCACTTTGGGTTTAAGCCCCCACCTTACCCCGACAACACGTCTACAAGCCCACATCGAATTGCGAGCCTTGCTAACCTTGTATTCCACATGCTC